ATAAACCGGTTCTTGCCTAGTTTTGGCCGGTTTTATCAGTTCGTGGCCGGCTATGCCGGTTATTGAACTTTCCGGTTTTTTGTGATGACCGGACCGGACTTGGGACCAGTTTTCGGTTGAACCGGCCAGTCTGATCCGATTCTAGTAACACTGGTTATTTTGCTTTTCATCAACTCTGTGAACTTTATAATTAAAAATTTCTTTAAAGCATCTTGTGCGGGCAGACACTTTGAAATAAAACACATGGAGACTGACGGCGATAATGCCAACTAGTGACTCCTCAACCTCAGGACTTCTAGATCCGTATACCTTATTACCATCTTTAATAAATTTACGGCTATCAAGACATTATTGCTAATTAAGTATTCACGCGTCCTAAATTTTAAAACACTTTCAGATAAAATCTTACATATTAATAAACTTTATTAAATACACTTAACAACCTTATTTTTTTAAAACAAAAATATAAGCTTTCAAAAATACTCATATTTTAATATATTGAAAAGAAAAAGACAGAAATTAATTATAGAGATATAAAAGATAATATTAAAATTGTTACATTTAATAAACTTTAATTTATTTAAATTGTCTTATATTTAAGATGAAGAAACTCATTTAAAAGTATCTTATAATTTAGGATGTAGGTAATAGCTTAGATATCAAAACTAATGGACAAAATCTTAATTTTAATGTCAGAGATAAAACAAAAAATAAAAGTGATAACTCAAGTAATAATTGATAAAGTAAGTATTTTATGTTCCCTTATTCCACCCACTGAAAACATTGCATACTCTGACGAGGTTATACATTGGGCTGTTATAAGCTTTCAGTCATATTAGGTTTATGATGTAATAACAAGAAGCAACGATATGCATATACATATAGGTTTTGTAGTTAAGTCCAATATACCCTCTCCCTCATATTTCTTCCATCTGGCCACAAAATCAATTCAACGTTAATCCGATTGGAAAAGATAAGTAAGGCCAGCAATATATGTTATCAAATAATCAAGTTGGAGTGACCAGAAAAACAAAACGAGAAAGAAAATGGATCATGATTGGACGAACTCTTGTGACAAGAAATATCCACCTTCTCTCTCCCCTTCCCCACCAAGAATCTATCCCATCTCCATATCAGCCTATAGTCTATATATATATATATATATATATATTTATGGGTAAATGACTTTGATAGTTTCAACGTTCAGATGAAAATCTCCTCATGTAAAATCTCAAAGCCACTGACACGTACTCTTCCGTATTAACTGAACCCAACATTTAAACTGTGCTATATATATATATATATATGTATGAATAACATATATATATGTGTGTGTGTGTGTGTGTGTGTGTATGAATATAGTTTGTACTGTATGACAATTAAAAAAAACATAAATACACGTACATTCATACAGATAGTAATTATTCTGTCACAATCGAAAATGTTTTTAGTGCTACATATGTATACGTGTGTGTGTGTGTGTGTGTGTGTGTGTGTGTGTGTGTGTGTGTGTGCAGTCTCAAACATTTAGAAACACGCTGAATATACAATCAAAATCCAAAATAATAATCACCAACACTCTTGCTGAACCTTAACAGAAAATAGTCTCAATCATGTACTCTCTTATCCAATATTGTATGCGTTTCTAACATTCAAGCCTTTTTATTCTCCGTCTTCGATCGAACACGCCCATCTGTTCCATCAAGCAAAGCATACTTATCTTTCCTCGTCAGGCTCGTACACTCGAACCCTAACGTCTCTGCAAGAGTTCTTTGAATATAATTTGCAACTTCAAAACTGGATTTCCCTCCCTTGCATGTGAGCTCAACGGGAAGCTGGTTCAGAAAAGTGATCTCACAGGCAGGCATAGGGTTCATTAATACAAAGTAAGGGTCCAATAACTTATGCCCTCGAACCGTGGTCCCGTAGAACACAGTCTGCTTCAGATTAATTGCCACAGGAACAATCCTATCACTTAATTCAGCAAAAAGAGCACTGAACCTTAACAGAAACGGTTCTCTGCATGTGGTTCCTTCAGGGAAAATCAGTAGGTCACCTTCCTGAAGCAGTCTTTTTATACTTTCTGCATCTTTTTCTCTTTCTCTTGACAAAGCAAAAGTTTTTACTGGCGATATCATTTCACTGAACTTACTTACGCTGTAGGATACACAACTGAGTTTTCTCTTCAGAGAAAATGCAATCATCACGGGGTCAACCACCGAACGATGATTGCAGACGAATAGGACACCACTTTGGCCTTTCTTCTGGGGAAGCGGTGGGGTGCCCTTGACGATGATTTTGACACCAAGAAGCTTGAACATATACCGAGAGACTTTTTTGGGAAATGGGATTGTGAGAAATACCCTTAAGATAGAGAGTATGATACCTATTGGCAGCCATAGGAAGGTTAATAGTGCCTTTAGAGGGGTTGGCCTATGTACAAAACGTCCTTCATGAAATATAATTGGCCTTAAAAGCTTGTTCCGTGGCAGTGGCTCGCACTTTGTTCTTGGCACTCTCCATCCTTCCTGCACAGGAGCAAAATCCATAATATATATATATATATAAGTGGTTCTTTAGTCCTTTCGCCACCTGTTGTGTTTCCCTTCTGACATATATATATATATATATATATGTATGATTAATAATGTGAAACGAAAGAATATCTGTCCAACATGTCCTGAGACTCGATGGTTAATAAGAGTATACGTAGTGATTACATGTATTTACCTTGCAAATTGACATGAAGTCATAGTCAGATTCACTGTCTCCCAGTGCCAGGTCTGGCAATTTGGACCCAAATTCCTCGATAACAGCTGCTTTCTTTTGCTCACCAACCAGTACTCCTGGTTCCTTAACAAGTCCTGTCAGTGTTCTCCCAGATTTCGTGGCTTTCAGCTCTGTCCCTACAACCTTATCTGTCTCTAGAAGCGTCTTCGCAAACGGCTCCACCATCAACCTCGGACTCGCCGTCACGACGTACCTCCTCCCGAACGAATTGAACACCCGCCATGTGTCAGGGTGGACGTCCTCGGCGTAGAACTTGGGCAACACCGACCTCGACACCAGTTCCACGTCTCTGCTGTTGAGTCCGGCGAAGGTGATGAAGATGAGAGTTTTGATTGCGACGGTTTCGGAGACGAAGAAGTACGTGAAATACACGAAGGGGAAAGAAGCGAGGAGGAGGAGTCCCCGGACGAAGCTTCCGGCTTCGAGAGCGACGAGCATGTAGTAAGGGAAAGCGCTTGGCGACACGAGAAGCGTGCCGTCCAAGTCGGAAACGACGCTTTGGTTCTGTCGTTCATGGATGGTGCATTGTGAGATGGGTTGAAAGCGACGAAAAGCTTGACGGGATACCATGGCAGCTAGCATAGAGAGAAGGAGAAGGCAAAATGAGTTGGAGGCCATACGTACGGAAGATGGTGGGATTTAAAACAGAAGAATTCCAAAAGGGGGTCCGTCTTCGTTGCTGGGCACCGCGGTGCTCATCCATGCAAATAAATCTGGCCATTCAAATTAAATCTGAATGGCCCAGTTTTTTTAATTTAAATTTATATTTATTAAAATAAAAACTTATAATTTTTTATAAATAGGTTGGCCATTAATCTGAATAGTATTAATTTAATTTAGATAATTTAATTTAATATTATAATTTTTAAATTGACTATCTACATGTATTATAAAAAATCTATATTCGATATCAAATGTTTATCTGCAAGGGTCAAATTTAAAGTTTCTTTATTTTGATGAATAGAATATTAAAAAATAAAATATATAATATTTTAATTATAAATTTTAAAAAATATTTTTTAAAAAATTACAAATTAAAATTTTTAAATTTAAATTGTGCAGAATACATCTGGATAGGCAATATATAAAAATATAAAAATTTTAATATTAAATTAGACACTATAAGTTAAATATAGACTTAGATTAGTAAAAAAATATTTATTAAATTTTTTTATAATTTTTATAAATTTTTATTTTTAAAATATGAAATAAAATATTAAATTATTTCTTTAAAACTGGACCATTCAGATTAAAAATCTGAATGGTTCAAATTACATCACCCTTGATGAGCACCATGTGATGAGCACCCAAGATGGTTCCTTCCAAAAGGCGGTTATGATCCGTTCGGTGCTGGTAAACCTTAATTATGGATACACAGTGGTGGAGACCGGCCCCAATTTTTTAATTTTTTTAAATAAATATAGGAATTACATATTTTTGACCCTCAAAAATATTATGTGCATTTTTTAGCCCATCATTTATAAATAGCTCATGTTGTAAATAAAGAAGTAATTGATGTACTTTCATTCTGTCAAAACTTGAATATACTCCTAAAGAATTCATATTTTGCATTCATTTTACATTTGGATAATTATAGAAATTACTAATAAACTTTATCAAGTGTTGTAATAAAATATCAAGATACCGGAATTCTATGTATTTGATATCCACCAATATTACTTATTCAAAAGGCTAAAGATTACGGTTGGAAAGGTTTTATAAAAAAAGTTACTTATTTTTGCAATAGCCAAATTATTGAAATTTTTTATATGAATATTTTTACTTTGCAATTTTGGCCCCTCCAATTAAAATTTCTGGCTCCGCCTCTGTGTATACATATTAGGATTGGAAATGTGCTTTGCATTACACTTACAGTTACATCAACATATATAATCGTTACTGTCCATTTAATATTATGAATCTGAGTTCGGTGAGTAACTTAATGACTTATGATATTTTACTAAATTTACCGGTATTTTTAATAAAATTGAAAGTCATCTCTTTGAATTTGTTAGGAAAAATATGACTAAGTGGATGATTATATATAAGAATGGATATGGAATTGTGGTTAAAAGTTAGTGGACCAATTTTAATATTAGTTTTGGACTTTATACATGTAGGGAGGCTCTAGTGAAAATTTCAAAGCCCAAGTACAAGAAGGCAACTTTAAACAGAAATTTTGTATAGATCATGTTTGCTACAGTAAAACAAAAATTTTTGTAGAATGTATAGTTTTAATCTTCAATGAATCTTAAGAGTTTTGGGGGCTCATTTTCAATCAATCCTCGTCTTTAATGGCCACAAAAAGCCCATGGTAAAGGACAGAAGCCAAAGTAAGCTTTGGGAAAGTTTGGGCTTAGTGAAAAATTAAGCGCAGAGCTAAAGATTGCTTTGATTAACAATTTCTTATCGTTCTTCTCTTTAGTTTGATGTATGTATTACTAAATGCTGTTATTATAGCCATGTTTGGCTGTTTTCTCTTAATCTATGTCAGTCATGAATTGATTATTGAATTATAGCATGTTTAAATTATTTATTTGAGCTTAATAATGTTAGTTTTCTTAACTTAATATTGTCCTTATTTGTCTACTTCATTCTTGGCCATCATTGAGCATGAATGTGAGGGTTTGGGTTTTGTTTTGGAAAAGAAAAATCTAAATTAGATCATTGGATGAAGTAATGTGGAATTAGAACTTATTCTAATTTGTCAATAGAATATGAATATATCTGTTAGACCCATATAATTGCATTAAAGTAGATTTATGCTTTTTGCCTTTTGAGTATTTGTGTTAGGAATATCATTTTTAACTTAGGAGAGGGGATTAATTAATTGACAAATAATTATTCTTATTAATACTCCAGATTGACAAATTAATATTAAATGAATTTATTTGAATAATTACATGCTCCATAAATTGAAGAAGAAATTACCCATCCTAAGATGCTTTAATTTTTTGTGATTGTTAGAACTTTTATTTTAGTAAATTTATATAACTTCAATTTTTATTTTGCAAAAAATCAAATCCATATTTGTTTTGCTCAACTTAAATAGAAATGGAAACTTTATTAGCTAATTGCTATTTTGATTGATTTTTCATGAGATCAATCTTGACACACCAATTTATTGCATATTGACTTGTATACTTGTGGTGAAACATTTTTGTGTACATCAGGGCTTAATTCTGCTTACTCAGTATCTCAATAATAGTCATTGGATTTCATCTATGCTTAAAAATGATACATTTTCCTCTAAAATTTCAAAACAAATCATCACAATCAAAACACTCTTTATATGTGTGTTTTTCCTTCAAAGAAATTTGAGATTTGTTACTTTAATTTTACATCACTTGCTAAGTTCAAATCCAAGATGATAGGCAAGTTGTTCAATAATAGGTTTTCGCTGCCTAATAAATAAAGATAAATATCGGATCATTAATATTTATTTTTTAAAAACTTAAAGATGACGTGTGTTTCATACCTTTTTTTTAATATTATAAGACATTTTTAAAGTGGTTAAACGAATATTAAGTCTTTAATTTCAAGAGGTAAATGACAATTATTTTCAAAAAAATCCTCAATAAAAGGGTGTCTTTAATGAGATTTTTTAGTTGAGACACTCTACTAAATAAGGGTGAGCATGCAAAAAAAATATGTAATTTTAAATAGAATAAGTAAAGAGAATATCACTACCAGACGTGTAAAAACTTATGCTTTTCATCATGTATTTATGTACAAGTAATAATTTTTATAATTATAACTAAATCGTAAAATAATTTATATTTTTTATAAGATCACTAAATAATAAATTACTTTTTTTAACAATCGAATATCAATTAGTTTTAAATTTTTAAAAGCCGGGTCAGTTATAAGTTTAGATATTGATATATAGATAAAAACATCTAAGTTTAGTTGAGATTTCTCTTTCAAGAATTAATTAGTAAGAACGTGTGGCTGGCATTAATGTGCCCTGTTTGTAATAACTCAGAAATTCAGGCCCAAAAAAGACTAATAACCCAGAAATTTAAGTAAAATTAAACTTGATATATAATAATCCAAGAATTTTAAGAAAAATTAAAATATACAGTAGGGTGTTTTAATTGATTTTTTTTTTTTTTTTTGTTAATTCTGGAGCAAACACATAAAGGGGCTGGAGATTGTATTCGTGTTATCTCACCAGGTTTTGGGTCTGAATCCACCGGGGTGCAAAGGGTGGGATTTTCTTTATTTTTCTTGACCTCCTCAAAAATTACTGTTATGCCCTTGTAAGAACAATCAGATATTTTCTTTCTTCCTCGACTCATTTTTCCCCCATCAGAATCTGTGGAGAGTGTGAGAGGGGTTCCGGATACAAAAAAAATTTGCCTTCCGTCTTCAGCCGTTGCCGATGTCGGTGAGTACAGAAGCTCTATCCGCCACTACTAGGAGGTTGAATCACGAGTTCTCCTGGGTGTGCCTTCAATCACTTCCCTCTCCCCTGTTGCAACATATATATCGTCTGGGGTGGGTGTGTGTGTGTGTGTGGGCTTTAATTTCAGTTCTCTCCCTCCTATGTTCTTGGTGCTGTGAAGGAGTGCATCGGACCTTCTCCTTCAGCTTCCTCCTACTTGTGTAGTGTCGCAGGCCTCTTCTTCTTCTCCTTCTCTGCTCATGTCTTCGCTGTTTTGGGTGTTAATGATTCATTAACTTAACTTCAGCTTTGCGGAGGAATTGATTGTGAAGCTAATACATGGTTAGCTAAACTCTTAAGAGTTGTGTGGTTGATAAATTATAAACCTTGGTGTTGTTTGATTATTTAATTTTGAGATACATGATGAAATGGGTAATAGAAGAGTTGTGGATCACTTGAGAGAGCAAGTGTGGTGTGTGTTCGCGAGCGCACCCCGATTAATGTTTAGCTACATGAGTCAGAGAGGGGTTGGGCAAACATTAAAATATAATCAATTTGTTGGACAGAAAAGTAATTATATAAGTGTTGAAGGGATCGAAGAAGTTAAGGCATAACTATATGATTTGGAACTTAGTTGATATGTTATGGTGATTTTGGAGGGGAATCTATTTAACTTGGACAAGGATCATTAAAACTTTATTTTATAAAATGTTTGAAAGAAGAAAAACTTAATTGATGTTGCAAGAGATGAATTTTGAATCTTAAAAAGATAACAGGTAAATAAATAACGTCTCAATTAATTTATATATTTGCAAATTTTTTATTAAAATATTTTTTTAACAATTTACGGTTAATAATGTATATTTATCTAACATTAACTACTTTTGTTAATTAAATTACTTTAATTCTTAAAGTCATGACATGTACTTATAAGATTGACGAAAATGTTTTTATAAGTTCTAGTATTCATTTATTCAGTTAAAACAATCATGAAATTTGGTAAAGAAATTTATGAAACATTTATTGTGAATTTTCATATTTAGAAATATTGATGTTCAAATAATTTATGTAAGTTTGTTATTGAGAAGAGAAAATTATATTTTAATAAATCGTTATTTTCTCGCTTGTTTGAGATGTGATTTTGAGATAGTTATATATAAGTAGAACACTAGTTCCTAAAGAC